ACATCACAGAATCAATCGCGGTCTGGTAGTGCGATCGGAGTCGCAAGCAAATACTGTGCTAATATTCTGGTAGATTTGAATACATGTTTAAAGCCTGGTAATAAAAACGCGTCTTATTTTGTTTGTAAGCGATACTATTTGCTCTCTCTCTTAGACGAACATACATCTTAAACGAGAAAATAGTCAAAAAATTAAAACTACATTTAATTGACTTTAAAAAAGAGAAGGAAATGATTATTATATTGACTTGAGAATTGCCATAATATATAAATGTATTTACCTAAATTATTTGCAATCTTTTGTTATTTTTATCGATAGTGTTTTCTTATATAAAATTCACAACTGGCAACCCACTGTCAAAGCGTGTTCGCCATTCGTCGTAATAAAAAAGAAAAAAGGATTGTCGTTTGATTCCAATTTTGAATTCAATCTACGCGGGTCGACGCCATGATTTTACTTTCATTGCCGTCGTGGGACGTTGCCGACTAGTTGAGGGACGCTCGAATTATTAATAATAAATAAGATAATCCCTGTTCTATGATTAATATTGTCTTTTTTCTTTTTGAAATGATACTTGCTTTATATTCCATTGTTAGTTTTTCTTGTCGCCTACTAAGAAACCAGTAGTAGATTACGACACGCAAATTAAAAGCGATCAATGTTTCACCAGAAGTATTTATTGGCCCAAGACCCCATTTTACCACGTTTACAACTTAACCAGAAAGAAATTGTAACAATTTCATCCGTTACAAATCGTGGCGACGAAATCTATACAAAATGTATAATAGGCCATAAACAAAAGAAAAAAAAAGTTTAGATGGAAACATTTTGACGTTTCGAGACAGTGACGTTTATGATTGCGTTCGGGGTTTTGTTCAAAAGAGGTTTTATAGGTGTCCCGCTGAGCGTATGTTGTTAATATAGCTACCAGTAGCAAATGATTAGTTTCGGTAACCATTTTAAGTGTAAATAATCTTGTTGTCTATTGTATTTTGTTTAATGTGTAGGTGAAAGATGACTAAACGGTTTGAATAGTATATTCATGTAGAACGCAATGGTAGCAAAAAAGGACGAAAAAACCCTTACAATTAAGGATCTGTCTAACAGTAAATGCATTTTAATTAAATTGCTTGTGTCTTTTTCGTTGAGTAAAAAGCAGAGTCTTTAAGTAAATATTTTCAATGAAAACTAAATATATCTTTAGAATTAATCGATTTTATGATTTAAGATGAAATAACTACAAGAGGGTCTTACGAGTATTGCCAAACGAATTTGTAAAGTCACGTAATATGTTGGAATGTGGTTTTGTCTGTATCCCTGACGTTTCGTATGTCAAGTATGTCATTGCGTATTATGAATGCCCTAATCCTTGGGATTGAATTGCTCCAGTTCAAACCATTTGTATGACTCAAAACTTGGCGTTTAAAAAGAGTGGCGGAGAGTTTCTTGCCCGCTCTACGCCCTTAACTCGCGAACTGGTAGTAAATGTAAATCTAGACAATGTAACACTTTTCTGTTGACGTTCATAAGTCTAGTATATTACCGATATGAATAATGTTATTTTGAGTTTTACATAGCCCTGCCCTTAGCGTCGCGTCCCACCTGTCCTTAATATAATTTAAAATATTTTTTGGGGGGTTTTAAGGGTTTGTAATAAGCAACCATAATTTAAAAAAAAAATTAAAACATTATCGATTATAAAAAAAATCCTCAAACAAATTTGTCCCGTATTTGACTATAAATTCAACAATAATACAAAATTATCTCAAAATCTCAGAACCCTTCACCTTTCACGGGCAATAAAAGTTTTCCTCGGGGAGATGGCAACATTTTCACCCGAAAAAATAGTGTAGATTCCGGAATGATTGTTCCCAACTACCCGTGATTCGGTGAGGGCGATGTTTACGACCTACCCGGATTGAAAAATAAAAGTCCACCTTTTACAATATTTATCCTACTAATGCTATTAAGGTTTGGTTTCGCGCTTTTAACCACAGTAAACGGCAATATCTATGGCAGTTTACATGACACACAGGGTAATATTGAAATTTGTGCTAACATAATAGTCTGTGGTTCCGGCTTGATCAATGGAAACCTAACTGTGTATATGTCACAACCACCTAGCTTAATAAGCCGTTCAATTAACAGCCTATCCTTTTGACTAAACAGCGCCGTTTAACTAGCGGCCTGAAATATATTCAGCCAGTTAATCAAACAGCTAGGTAAATGACAGACTTGGATCAATGACGTTTCATTACTTGCCCAGCCTGTTGACTGATACTTAAATTTAGTTCCACTTTCTGCCACCTAGTCAATGTTACCCCAAAACAACCCCCCCCCCCCCCCCAAAAAACCCCACCAAAAAAAAGGGCAAAAACCCCCCCCCCCGGGGGGGCCCCCCCCCCCCCCTATTATACGTATTTTAATTAGTAATAATACGACAGCCCTGCGATTCTGTAACTCACTTTTCGGACTCACACAGCGGTTTTCACTTTTCGCATCAGCGGTCGCTCTCAAATCAGTCGTGAAGCAGTCATTTTATGATTTGGCATTCTGAAAATGCTTGTAGTTTATTGTTTATCAGAGAGTTACAGAATCGCAGGGCTGGACTCTGAACGCATCTTTTACCATGACACTGTAACACTATATATAGAGAGATACAATTGTTTAAAATGTTATTAACCGCAATTATTATCAATGATCAAAAATATTATTAATTATTAAGAAAATACACTTTTGACGGTTTAAACACATACCTAAATCACAGTAATAGGAGGATTAAAGACACAATTTGGTTTAATTATTATTATCTTACAGAACAAGGCGCAAACGGATTGGAGGGCCGCCCTTTTAAATTCCTTTTCCTTTTCATGGTTGTACACCACTGTGTGCATGTTACACTAGACGATAATTACTCCAGCCAGTTAAAGAAATAATGATCATAAAACACATAAACAAGGATTTTAGATGTTTTTCAGTAATAATTACTCCGCAAAGTCTGTAATTTTTGGCCATATGAGACAAGAAAGATCTTCATAAGATCAATGGGATGATCCAATATTTCAGTTGATATTAGCGGTAAGGGCTATATTTTTTAAGAATATACATGTACATGTTTCTTGAAACTGCTATATTTTTGGGGCTAAACTGAATATTTAAACATTGTTAAAAAAACATACAACGCTGATATACAACATACATGATAAAACCTTATCAGAACGAGTTTAGTACTTTCATATTATTTTATCTCTTGCGCATGTTTTTTGCCTCTAATTAAGGAAGTAGGTAAGTTTTCGGCGTTATAAATTCAATGGAAGGTAACAAAAAAAGTATATTTAAAGATTTTTCTATCTATTCAAAAGATAAATAATCGACATAAAATCCTTTATAGGGCCACTCAATTCTAAATACCAGCGCCCTTACTCTGTATCTTTTAATTCCGACAATCCCGACCCCAATGAGTTTTAGATCCGCGAGGTCCAAAGCATGCGACATCAGCGCTACGGATATTAAGAGAACTGCTGCTGCTATTGGAAGGTACAGAGTAAGGGGCCTGGACTTTTGTCCTAAAGACTACCTAGTACCCTCCACTATCGTATAGTATTTGTAGTACAAAGGATAAATTACTGTTGAGCAGCAAGGCTGTTTAAGTTTGGTACTTAACACTGCTCCTTGTGCTTGGTACTCTTGTTCGCATCTATACGCGCAGGTGAGAGACTTCGAGACAGAATGCGAAGTTCCAGCAGTATTACATCCCGACGTCCGTCGTTCTACAACTGAGCGTTTTTTAAGGCAATTTTTGCCGTGCACCACCAACTGAAGTATTTCCGGACTAATTCGACTTAGGGTCCTTCAAGAAAAGAGCGTACCAATTCTTATAAGGCCGGCAATGGACTCGGGAGTCCTCTGTGAGAGTCCATGGGAGGCGGTATTATTCAACATCAGATGAGCCTCTTGCCCGTTTGCCTCTTTACATAAAAAAACAATAGATAACATTGATACACAAATTATGTTTAAATGCAGATTCCATATTATTTATATTATTTTATTAATTATATATTACTTTTTTAGTTCTATTAATAACTGTTGATGCTCAAATAATAAACAAAACCTTCGAAATTTGTATACGAACCATCAAAACAATTATTTTCTAAATATTAAATAGAATAACTAAATAGATGGAGTTTTATACTTCTAGGCTCACAATCTGAATTGACCATTAAAACCAGAGAAAAAAGGAAGAACATTTGTAGAACTTTAATAGTTAATTTATTCTATGTGGCTTTTTCACATAATAATAATAATATACTTCGCCTTTAATTCTGATACTTTTACATTTAACACGTTTCGTTCGAGTATTTAATTACCATAAAACATTACAAATAAATTTAAGCGATGATTTTACGAGGAATATTTCTATCTTGAAACGATAGAAAAGTCTGCAAGAAGTCTTTGCATTTCGTCGAAACATACCTACTTCCAAAATTTGTTAAGTAAAAATACATACATAATTAAAATTAAAATTGGCCTACACTATATACTTAAAGTCTTTCGGGGGATGGTGAGCAACCCAAGTGTTCTTCAAGAACTTGATTTCTTTGTACCTGGGCGATATATGCGATGACGAAGGCCAAGGTTTGTGATACCAAGGACCAGAACTATTCTGTCGCACTGACCCTCGTTAACAAAGACTTTGCACCTACTGAAAGCTGTCTCTAACACTATCGACATCTTTATATGTCCGCAGAGTGCGTTCACAGTATCGATTTTGTATATAATTTTTTCGACGTTATCGTATTCGCTCTGTTACTGTAAGGATAATGTATTTTTATGAATAAATTAATAAAACTTGTGATCAAAAAACATGTGAAAGTGCTAAACTCGTTCTGATAAGGTTTTATCATGTATGTTGAACATCGGCGTTACTTTTTTTTTATTTTTTTAAACACTATAAATATGAAGTTCGCAGCTAAAAGTATCATTCCGCAGTATCAAGAAACATGTATTCTTTTCTTCCTTTATGTGCATTTGCTTTACTTTGCCAAGTGCAGGGTAAGTCTTTATATTATTATTGCTCACAAGTAACAACACATCACTTTTTTGTCCCCAAGTGCCCTCTAACGGTGAAAATTAGAATTACGGGAATTTCTATAGTTTCCAGCACGTTTCCTCATCAAGACAAATTTAGCCAAGTTACGTGCCTAGATTCTCGTATAAGAATAATTGTTCGTATAACGCGATTTCCGTCCTCCATATAACGCGGTATTTCCCCCTATAACGCGGAAATATCTCAAGTTATATTTTTGTAGTTTTGCCCATAATTAGGTTTTCATACTTTGCACCTGTTTTAATTGTGCCGTTATACAATTAATCTAAATAATTTTACTGTTCGTGTTCCTAGTACATATTTGAATTGTTAAAAGAATGGTTTTACCATAATATTCCTACAACGCGATATCCTATAACGCGGTCCTTACGCGGGATTACTGTATTGCCACAAATATAAATTTTGGCATTGCATTTAAATCTTTGACTCTTCTTTATTATTTACATTAATTAGTTTAAAACCTCCACACATATATTTTGAATTACGATATCTTTCAGGTACATGGGCAAGAGAGGCTCGAGAAGGGGAATTTCCATACCAGGCGGCTGTTCTACTGAGACTGCGCAATGACCAACTTCTGTACATATGCTCCGGCGCAATACTTAACCAAAGATATATATTGACACTCGCCTTCTGTGCTATACAGTGAGTCCTATATATAATATATGATTAAACACAAAACCTGCTTAGATCTTTGGCGGCTTTGGTCTTTGGCAATTGGGCAAAATCCATATTTTTTATTTTATTTTTGCACTCAAACATCACACATATTACAAAGAGAGCGATCAGATTTCTATTTAAAAACCGTGTGTGTTTTATGTACACGCCATAAAAGTTATACTTCTTTGGCGTAATAAGAAAAAAATATTTTCAAAAATTGTATCTTTCGCCTTACTACACAAAGAAAAAATTTACTCTCATCATTATTCCCTAACGCGCCAAAGTATAACTTCAAAAAAACTAAAATGTTGACTATTATAGCTAACTTCAGGGTGTCGGGTTTTTATGACGGTGTGCGCGCGCATCGTAAAAATTTACTTTCATCATTTTTCCCTAACGCGCCAAAAGAAGTATAACTTCAATATATTTTGTAATAAAAAGGATATACACGTCTGAAAATAACATGAGAACTTAAGAGGACGCAGCGTTAACCAGATCCATGCAACGTCTTCAACAGTAGCCCGCAATATCGCACCACACAACTCCCTGGGACTATTGGTATTGAAGAAGTCGCATGAGTCCGCCGAGCATCCGCAAATATGCAATGTTAATACATAATTAAGTAGGAATAAAAATAAACATAACAAATACTTAACACAACAAGGTTTGTAAAACGACTCGGCGAAAGGTCCACCGAATCTTTCACAGTTTTCTTGTAATGCCGACACTATCTGTACATTTTAAAGGGTTGTAACTGTATATACATATATGCATACATGTGTCATATATATATGTGGGTAAAATACCCTCTCCCTCTATCACACACACACACTCACGTACACCCATACAACTTTATTTCTACTACCTTCTAACTAGTTAACTGTTTTGTTTTGTCTGTCCTTATTTAAAACGATAAATTTGTTTGCCTACCCATATATGTATGTACTTTTGTTACCACTCATATAACCTTGCTGTGGGATGGAAGCCTGGTTATCCATATCACAGGTTCTTACCTAGTTAGGAAGCCAGTCTCCCAATACCTTCTCAACTGTAATCTTATTGCTTGTTCAAATGTAATATGGGAGAAAATAAATTAGGTACTGTTATTATTATTATTATTCAAGAAACGAATACCTAAAACTCATTTTAAACTTATCCACAGGTACCAGCCTTCCACGATTAACATATTAGTTGGGTCGAATGATCTTGCTCGCCGAAATAATATATACTACTCCGTTGATACAGTTCGGCAGTTCAGTCGACCCAAGTACAATGTAACTATATTCTCCCGTAACAATATTGCTGTAGTCAGGGTTAAGAACCTGATAATCTTCAATCAAAGAGTCCAGCCCATAGTGATATCAAGTCAGGATGTGATGAACGGTCAAACTTACAGCTTAACAGCTTTTAGGAATTATATTGTAAGTAAATGAATCTTTAGTTTACTTCTTAAAGTCAAGTCAAGTCAAATATCATTTATTCATATAGGTAACACAATGCTCACTTATGAACGTCAAAAAAGAAATATACATTAAATGCTTCTAATTTTACATTTACTGCCAGTTCTCAAATCAAGAACGGAAGAGAAGAACTGGCAATAAACTCTCCGCCAATCTTTTTAATCGCCAAGTATTTTTTGTTTTAAACAACGTTTGTAACGAGCTGCAACCATTTCACCATGTTCCACATGACATCTTAAGTAATAAATTATAATAAATTAATTAAAAACAAAGATTTTTCCTCTATCAGCAGGAGGCATGGAGCAACAGGTCATTCTATTATGAAAAAATATCTTTCTGATTACATATGTTCCAGGCCTTACATCATCAGGATGAAAGATAAAAAGTTAAGATTTATTTTCAGGATCCAAACTACTCTACCCGTCTCCAGCTGTTTTTGGTAATAGCAATACAAAATAACAGACAATGCAACCCATTGGTTGCAACTGGACTGGACCGTGTCAGGGAACTGTTTTGCATGACCGCGAGCCCCAGGGATACTGGAAATGAAAACCTACCACCAGTAAGCATATAAAACATTATTGGGTTTACGCGAGTAGGCATTTAAACATTCCAGTTTTGAAAGCATAGATGTTCCTTCAAAGTGCGGAAGTATCTGTTGCTCCTAGGGTGAAACGTCGCTTGGAAACCGGAATATCAAGCGCTTTTAAACAGTCGAAAAGTCGAGTTTCTACTAATATTAAAAAGAAACCAGTGGCGATACAACTCTTTTAGGCCAGGGCCTCAGATCTCTGTATCTGTTTCATGATCATTTGTCAATCTAAGTAACCAGACACACGCCGACTTCATGGGTCTAAGGCAAGCCGGTTGTCTCACGATGTCTTCCTTCACCTGAGAATGTTAAATATATATATAGACAGAAAGTCCATTGGCGCATAGCTGGGGATCGAACCTACGATCTCAGGAATGAAAGTGGCACGCTGGAGCTACTAGGCCAACACTGCTCTAATTATAATTGGCGGTTATACTACTAAAGAAGTATTTAAATTTTTTTTTAATTAAAAAATCCATAATTTCATTACTTATCAGGATTTACGTAAAACAATTCATATATATAATATTCTTCTTTAACTTTGATATATATTTAATACAATACATATAGCACCAGAGAAATTATACCTTTAAATGCAATATCATACATTAAATTTAACAAATTTTGTAAATTTAATTGAAACTTTAGAATAAAATATAATAAAATAAAAAATGTTTATTATGGAACATAAGATACATGAATCACTTGTACATTTGAATCGTACGGCAGATCTTTAACCCATAATTCAAATTTTAGTTCAGCTACCAAGGAGGACCAATTGCCAGTCAGTCCAAACAGTTGAGCGGTTTGAATATTGCTGCAAGAGGCAGGCAACAGGACAAAATCGTAGCTGTAGGATTACGACTAGCACCCTACAGGAATCAGATTTATGCTGCCATCAATAATTAATGTTTGATTATCTTCGAATCATTATGTAATGTTAAATATCCTGTACCACGTAACACTAGTTAGGATATTTATTAAAAGTATAGCATCTTTAATAATGAATATGATGACACAATTACATTTTCAAAAGGTTTTGTTAGTAAAATACGTTCTTCTTGTATATTTATAAGGTTTAATAAAATCATTTTCATCATTATTTTTCTTTTATTGAAATCTTCTTCTTCTTTTAGTGCCTCTCCATTACTGGAGGTTGGCCGTCAGTATCTTGAAGCGTGTCTTGTCCTGTGCCAGATGCAGCAACTCTTCTGCAGTTGCAATACCTGTCCATTCTCTAACGTTGCGGAGCCATGATTTCTTCCTTCTACCAACACGCCGTTTACCCTGGATTTTACCCATTATAATTAATTGAAGGAGGTGGTAGCGGTCATGGCGCAACACGTGGCCCAGGTACGCAACTTTCCGTTGTTTAATGTTCTGCAAAAGTTTTTTCGACATTCCAACTCGTTTCAGAACCTTCTCGTTAGAGACCTTCTGGATCCAGCTTATTCGAAGCATGCGACGATAGCACCACATCTCAAATGCTTCTAAGCGCCGGCGGGTATCTTCTTTAATTGTCCAAGCTTCACAGCCGCACAGAACAATTGGCCAATTGAAATCTATAATAATATAATTTACATAAGTTCATAATAACACAGAGAGCGCTCCCGTTTGATAATAGGCTGTACCTAAAAAGAAATAGGGATGTTGTCGTCGGTCAGCCCGTATATATGGACTCACTTCGCCAGACGCAATATGCAAGCAGACATATATATGTATATATATAATACATTAAATAGGCTGCTTCATATCGTCTACAATCTAAAAATACCTTACGCAGTGTAAGAGATTTTGATACCTAGTATGTAGTTACACACTTTTTCTTTCTCACTGACTCATTCACACTCACTCACTTACACATTTGCACCCACACACTCACTCATGCACTCAGGCGTGTTGAGTTATCAACTTAACAGTTGAAAATGAAAAACAAATGTAAATAATTTTTTTATTTTATTTACATTTTTAAAATAAAATATGTACTTAATTAAATTATATTTAATATTTTAATGAATTTATAATTAAGTTTGTTATGGAAGAGCTGGGAACCCTGACTCAGGTATTTCTTACTTAAAAGGGTTCCCAAATCTTACACATTGTAATGCATATGTAGTTATAATGAATAAACACATTTTTTTTTATAAAGCTCGCACAACCTTTGAAAATGCTATGCAGTCACCAATAGTGTTTAACAGGTACTCAATTAGGCCATTTTGAATAACAATACGGAATAATTTTGGTGTTTTATATATATGTTGCATATTATACACATATGCTATGTGTAGCATATGTGTATAAAGTCTATAAAAATATATCCTCCTAAATACTAAATAAGTGTCATACATAATAGTACTATTTTATTTCCTTCCTTCGAAAAACAATCATTTTATTCACAATTTTTTAGTAAGAATAAAAATTATTAAAAATTAATAAAAAGAAATTTTAAAACAAATTTAAAAAGTATGGTCCTTGGGGCAGTGTACCTTTAACGCTGGCAGCATTTCCTCGTTGTATTGCGATACTTATTCGTTGAGCGAGGAAAGCACCAGATCTGGGGTTACCGGTACTATCTTCCAGGCGTCAACTTAAAACTTTAATCAGCGCCTGTGTACTTGAACCCCACGGCCCAAGAGTCTCTACTCCAAACGGAACAAAATCGAAGTTTAAGGAAATCTCTTGTATTTGAGAGGTTTATTATTTTTCTTCAAATTGTGTTTACTCTTACAAAAATCATTGCCATTAAACTGTGAGTTATATAGGGTTATTTGGGCAGCTATAGGCCTGCTACCTATAAATACGGCGGTCGCATCTTCAATATATTACAAGGAATTTTTGAGATCATTAATAAAGATCGAAAAGTTTATCATTCATGAACTTTTAAAATTTGTTTTAATCTTCTTTTTATTAATTTTTAGTGATTAATATTATTACTATTAGGTTAAGAAAATTGTGAATACGGTATATTTGTGTGATAGAAGAATTGTATATTTCAAAAATATAACATACAGAAAACGTATATTTTCAAATTAAATCCTATATCAAAAATTTTGAAAATTGTTATAAAAATAAAAAAAATCAAATGATCTCTGATTGAAGGTCAAAGGTTATTCAATTGACATGTCCTAGTTAAAACCAATAGGCATTTTAATAATTAATATATTAATATAGCTTTTGGCTTATGTAAGTAATTTAAATATAAATATTTATAAAACAAATGAGGTCTGTAATAAACGCGAATTTAATTTACCATAGTTCAACGTTTGTTTGTTATATTTGAGAATCAAAAAGTAGTATGTTTTGTTTAGTTTTAAAATGTTTATTATAAGCTGGTGGTGCATGCAGACTACATTAGACTGCGTACATCAAAAGTACTGGAGTTTCCTAGTGGTAACTCTAGAAACATCGCAATACAGTGAGGAAATGCTTCTGGCATAAAGGTTGCTGCTGGTTGCTGCTACCCGCACTTTTTAATGTACTGAATAGTATTCAGTCTGTTACGTTCTGTAAATAAGAGTAATTACTTGGCCTAAAGATCTAGATACCAGGCCATAAACTCAAAAAAAAAAAGAGTAATTAATTAATAATCCTTGATTTGAGGGGTACCGGGTTCGATTCCCGGTTCGAGGGCAAGTTTTAATTTAATTTAAATTTGTTCTCGGCCTTTGGGAGGGTTGTGCGGTACTGCTTAAAGTGTACATGGAGGACGCGGTCGAATTTTTAAAGACAAGCACGAATTATAAAAAATCCTATACTTGACGCTGGCTAATGCACAAATCAGTCAGAGCCATAAAAAAAAATCTTTGATTTTAGTGCAATTGTCAAAGACAAATAGAATAGATATGCAATGACAATGGACAGTAATCATCTTAATCAATATAATGATTAAGTATCTAAATACATAATTATATTTTTTATACAAAATTCAAGTTATGTTTTAAAAGTGTGATAAAAGCAATAAAACTGGTATTAAGAACATGGAAATTGATAAACTTTAATTATTCATTATCATGTAGATTACATAATTAGTAAAGTTTACTCATTATTGAAAATTTTAATTTATTTCATTTTATTACATTTTAATCTATAAATAAATATAAATTATTATAAATACACCTTCGAATTTCTGAAACCTAATGAATACTTCCTTCATCTAAATCATCCCCCTCAAACTCGAAACAACTGCTTTATCAGCAGGATGGTACAGATACCGGCAAACTTCTTGAGCATTAAACAAGGGAGTGGGGGAAAGTTTGCGCATCGTACACATACGCGAGACACAAACGTCAATTGCGTCAAAATCGCTTCTGCGCAAGCAAGGAAATTTGTTCACGATGTTTGCTGGTATCTGTACAGCCGGGTTAACCATGAAAGCTTTGTATTCTAATAAAAATATTGGAAATATGTCTTGTCATATATTGTATGTCGCAAAGAAATACATTTTGACCAATTAAATGGTATATAAAATTACGTACGGGGGGGGCGGTACGGTGGGGGGTGGCAGGTCGCGAGGAGGCATAGTCTCTTACTCACTGCACGCGGCCGAGCTTGGGGTGCATGTCCAGGGTGTCAATCCGGTGGTGAGAAGTTAATCTTAATTTTTATGTTTCCCCCGCTTGGCTCTCTCTACTGCTCTGGAGATATGATGCGTCGCCTGTGTACGTGGCATAGGCCAGAGGCGACAGCACGTTGCCTTGCGGGAAGTCCAACGCGATGGGTCGCGGTCTCGACTCAACCTCTCCCGTCGCGATGAAGAATGTGCGAACAGTGAGAAAGGCGCGACGCGACGTAAGGAGATTCGAGGAGCTGCAGCACGAGGCCGTCGTGCCAGACACGGTCAAAAGCCTTCTCCATGTCTAGCATTACGGCGGCTGAACCCCATTTAACAATTTACTCCACCGAAACACATCACGTACAACGACGAGATATTTTCCCATTCAACAACTGATAGGACAGCGATTATTCGGGAAATTATTGTGTTATTATGCACGTACTAACACATAATAACACAATGACTTATGCCCGATCACATTATTTAGATATAATAACGCCGTTACAGTCCCGAATTGAGGGCGTAAAACAGTCGAAAAGAAATGCCAAGAAACTTTCAGCTACCCCTCAAAAATTTTTTATTTATTCTGCAGGTATTTCTTGAGGAGTTGCAGATCATCACCGTAACATACTTGTGTCTGAAGTCGAAAATCGACTAAATCTAGTCCAATTTAACCCCAAGAGGACACTATCTTTAAAATTCATGTTCTTTTTCATTACTTTCTTGAACAAACAAAACAAACTGGTAGATTACCTTAAACCCCGTGAACGCTGGGATCCGACCGTGTTTCTTTTGCATATCATGTGTTGCAACTTAGCAACATCCTTTGCTGTGCACTGGGGATACTCTGCACACTGACCGTGAAGTTATTTCTCAGAACCAACTTTTATCTAAAGTGGAAACTTTGCTACATGGAGTCTCGGACTAGGGTCGTCTAAACCTAGTCCAATTTTACCCTTCGAAGACACAATTTGTCCCGTTTTCCGCCAAAAAAAACACCCTTTATTGCTATTCCTCTCTTCCGAGGCACTCTCCTTACAGCCACAACCAGCATCGGAATAAGTTGACATATAGAAAGACGTTCAATGTCACTGTCATTTGGAGGGAAACGCTAAATTAGCTTTCGAGAAGCTTGGAGTGCTCAGCAAGGCGAGACGGTACTTCACACCGGGCCACCGCTTGCATCTCAATAATGCGAAAATTCGGTCCCACATCGAGTACCGTTCTCACCTCTGGGCGGGAGCTCCCCAGTACCAGCTCCTTCCTTTAATCATCGACGAACAGTCACTATCCAAGCGGCTCGATCCCTTGTCGTTGCGTAGGGACGTAAGAGGAGTTGTTCCGATAAATACCTGTATCCCCTCGATATCCATCGTTCTACAACAGAGCGTTATTTAAGGCAGTTTTTTCCGCGCACCACCACGGTATGTCTACGAGCACCGACCGTTATGTTATCCCTTAACATTAGGTGAGTTTTTCCCTTCCCATCAGTCCGTTTTCCCCCTGTACCATAAAAAAATGTAGAATTTGCTCCAATAAAAATAAACACCTTTTTGCCTCAGTTTAATAAAAATGTTTATTCAAACAGGTTTTCGTTAACAAGTCCTGATATTATCAGATATTATCAGCGGTACACTTTTTTTATGATCTGTATAAATACAGATACAAAATTACAAGAACTCAGTATGAGGCTTTAAGGATATAGAAACATGTATTCTTTTTTGTCAATATGTATATTCGCATTGTTGTTTCAAGTGCAGGGTGAGTATTTAAATTTAATTATTATTGAAGCTGTTAAATTTAATTGAAAATAATTTGGTACGACGATTTGAGTAATATAATAGAAGTGAAACTTATTTATCGAGGTTGGAAAAAAATTTAGTGTAACATTTTTTCGTTACGCGTCACATTTTTCGGTTACGCGCCATGTTGCTTTTTGAAGTCAAACTTCTTTATCGGCGTTGGAATGAAACTTCTTTATTGACGTTTTTCAATGATAGTAATATGATAATAAAAGCCTTTTGTTAAACTTTATCTAATTTAACGAATTTCTGTAAAGTTGCATATATTGCATATATCATTTTTCGTACACCTAGTACACGCACAATTTATTTTTAATACCAGGCCCTTCAATAATACTGGTTATCTCTTTTTCTCCACTTCACTGATGTTCAATTTCGGCTTTACCACCTTTATTGTATGTATTTCTAGGCTCATGGGCAAGAGACGCCCGGCCCGGTGAGTTCCCATATCAAGCTGACGTTGTTCAAACTCTACGTAACGGCGAGTATCTGTATCTCTGCGCAGGCGCAATTTTAAACCAACGATTTATCATCACAGTCGCTTTTCTCGTTGAACTGTAAGTTTATCATTATAGGATTTAGCGTTCAAACAATTAAGCAAGATTAAAGACAGACCCAATTAAAAAAAACCCCCATAAAGAAATCTCAAGAAGTCAAGAACTGGAGGGTATAACACCATTGGTTTATGAAATAATTAATTATGTTTCTGTTTAAAACAGCTTTGAGTTTTCCAATGCAAGTAATGATAATAATAATTATGAAGCCCGTTTAATGTCCAATCATGACAAAAAAATTATAGTGTACAGCATAGATTTTTACATTGTTTTCATCTTGTTATCGCATATCCTAGCTACCTTCAGTAACGTCGATCGCAACCCCTTCACGTGTCAGTTTTTTTGCAAGTTTTCATGATGCAGGTTTAAATAACCATATGTAAAATAACCTAATAGATATGTAACCATATGTTTTCTTTTTTGAAACAAACAGAAAACTTTGTCAATTACGAGGGCAATATGGAAATTCTTCAAATTGTGAATTAGACAAACAAAGAGTAAAAAGACCAAAGCGTAGAATTTATCAAAGTTGTTATTTATGGCCCGGCAAAACGTTGTTTTGCAATATAAAGATGGTGGTAACAAAATGGGGGTAGAGGAAATCAAAATGGCAAAACATAATTTTTTTGACTGTGCCTCCCTCATCCTTTAGGGATATAACTATAGTTTATAATCGGACCTAAACTCATTAAATCCTCTTTTCAGATATCCCCAGTCTTCACTGAGAGTTTTAGCTGGTTCCAACGATCTGAATTCGCCGAGCAATATTTATTACAAAGTCGACAGCATACGATCATATTATCAGAACTCATATAACTTCACCATAATCTCACGAAATAATATAGCATTGGTTAGAATTAAAACCAGGTTCACATTCAACGCGAAAATACAACCAATTACCATTTCAAAGCAAGATATTGTCGACGGTGAAACTTTAACTATAAGTGCTCGGAGAAATCCTTATGTAAGTATAGAATTTTTAGGCTCGATTTTTTGGTATATTTGGATTGCTTTCATATAAAATCAGTGGCGTTATAGCCTGTGTAGGTCTGGAGCTCATTTCAGAATCTGTTCCATGATCATTTGTCAATCTAGACAAGTAAGTGATCAGCCTGACACACACCATCGACTTTTTGGTGGGCCGTTTCCGTTTCCGTTCGAGCGAATGGTAAATGTGCACTAGAAGGAAAGTCCATTGATGCACAGCCAGGGATCAGGGCAGCAAAAGCATCTTGAATATTCGGCTAAGTTGGGCTTAGGGCTAACCAGATACTGAGGATGAACCAGATCAGAGGAGGGAATCATTAGCAGATTGATCACTTTATAGATTTATTTAGATTTTTAAAGTGATAAAGACCAGTTTGGTCAGGGTTAGTCACTCATGACTATCATGGGATGGTAGGGCAAATGCAAAAGCAAATGGGCAGGATCACCTGATGTTAAGTGATACCACCGCCCATGCACATTGCCAGAGGGCTCGCAAGTGCGTTGCCGGCCTTTAAGAATTCGTACGCTCTTTTCTTGAAGGACCCTAAGTCTGATTTAAATATAAACAGTTCTAAATGTGTTCTACCAAGTCTCATCTATACATTCCCATACGTGATTAGAGGACCCGCTGTCGAAATTATCTTCAACTAAACAAAACAACATAAAACGCTAGCAACTTACATGAACTCTTGCATAGTCTATAAAATTAAATTCTTAAACTTTTCTCAGGATCCAAACTATGTTAGTCGTCTGCAAGTTTTGCTTGGTAATGGAGTACAAGACAACGATGACTGCGGTGCCCTAGCCAAAAGAGATGTGGATGATGTAAAAGAGTTGTTCTGTTTGAGGCAGAACAGGAAAGATATTGGAAATGATAACCTTCCACCTGTAAGTACATTAGCATTTAAACAAGATATTATGGCTCCATCTATCTCTTTAGACGAGAATTTAAAGTAATATTCGAGAACTGACATTAAGTGAATGATATCATTATAGTAGCTTATCAAACACTACAAATCCGCGCGGTTAAATCGGACCAACAAACAAAAATAACTTACCCACCACGAAGGCGAGGTCCTCCATAGAAGTATTAAGAAACAGTGTTCTAGTAACAGTGTTCTGGTATCATGTCTAAATAACAAGACGTTTTAGCAGCCCTGCGATTCTGTAACTCACTTTTCGAACTCACACAGCGGTTTTCGGATCGCCGGTCGCTTTCAAATCAGTCGTGAAGCAGTCATTTTATGATTTGGCATTCTGAAAAGGTGGAAGCTTGTAGTTTATTGTTTATTAGAATGCAAAATCATAAAATGACTGCTTCACGACTGATTTCAGAGCGACCGCCGTTGCGAAAACCGCTGAGTGAGTTCGAAAAGTGAGTTACAGAATCGCAGGGCTGGACACTAATAATTAATCTATTTAGAATTGCTATATTCTTGAGTTTGTTTGTGATCAGCCCTCTCCGCCAGTTTGGTCTGAATTCAAACACAGCACCTCATTTTAACATTACTCGTATAAACTACAAAACATATCATTTATGAAAGACTTCCTTTTAGTTCTTCATACTCAATGAAAACTTGCTTCAGAACGAAAACATTGTGACCAGAGTCTGCTTCTTGACTATAGAAATGTATTGAGCGGTGAAGGGGCAAAGACGGAAATAATACTTTGATAAATTCTACAAATATAATCAGCTTATTATCTAATGTATGTTACTGTCGTTTGTTCACAGTTCAGTTACCAAGGAGGACCAATTGTTGGAGCTAATAAACAACTAAAAGGCATATTGCTTGTTTCCTTAAACAGCATTCCAGATGGTAAAGTTGTGGGAATCGGATTGCGCGCATATCTTTATAGGCAGTTTATTTATGAGACCATCAATTAAGGCCAAGCAATCTGTAACTGTCGAATTTATAACTAAAAACACTAAAGGATTGCCCTGACAAATTGTCCAAAACATAATAAAAAAATCACACAATTCAATTCCAGAACACAAAAGCTACAAATGTCACATATAACTCCTCCCTTTTAAGTTATAATGTACTTGATATACTGGACATGGTCTCCAGTTGCGAAATTTGCTGAAAAAAAAATTTTGCGATACTACATAAATTTGATCGTTACGAGTGCAAAAACAAGATAGGGTAAAATTTTAGCAATGTGCATACTAAGACGGAAATTATGCATGAATTTTGTACTTAAATTCTGGTATTGTCAAATTTTATAAATTGTACAAGTATTATTCAAGTTTCAAATAAAGATTATCACAATATTGGCATTTTTACTCTCTGGCACATGAAATATATAATTATCATCAATGGCTACAGTGTACAGCCCCTTGTGGGCCTTAGCCTCTGCAAGTATCTTGCCCTATCGCAATCTCTGTAGTAGGTACTTCTTGCATCCAATTTCGAACACCTATTGTTACGAGGTCCTTGACATCCCCATCCCACCAAGGCTTTGGTTCTACCTTGTTCTACCACTGCACCCTTTCATAATACTTTAAGATGAATAGAAAGAAATAGTTTTATATTATCATTGATCCAAGCTATGAAATTGATAATTGGGACACACGTAGACACGATTCCACCCCTTGACTGTTCTAAGGTACACAATCCAACTTCTTACTGGGACCCACCACTGGACCACCACCATCACCCTAAAAGTAATAAAAATTATTCATTACCCCGACTACATCAAGGTCAACTCACACTATCACAATATTCCATAAATATATAATAATAAAATAATATACATTGAAATAAATAACTAAACATAAACTAAAATATATCATTAAAAGGAGTCCCTTTAGGCAAGGTTCCGAAGATACTGGCAGCGTTCCCCCTTTGAATTGCTAGACTAATTCTTTGTCCGAGGTATCTGCCAGATCTTCGGTCGCCTGTGATGTCGACTAACCTTTTTGAAATTTCTTTAAAAAGCCTTAAAGCGCTAGGACCCCAAAAAACAATTCTATCACAATTGAATAAAATATATTACTGTTGTTTTCTATGACAAAAAAAATTCTATAAAGTTCTATGGAGGTCATGGTTTAAATAAGTAGGTATGTAAAATTTAAATGTGATAATCCGATTAAAAAGTATATACAATTCAATTAGAACACATAGAAGATTACTAATTTCTTCGTCGTTCTTACGTACCCGTGACCTACTAGTGAAGGGACAAGTTGTAAGTACTAGCATGCTTGGTGAATGTCAAGAAAGTGAAATAGGCGAAAGAACCGTACCAAGTGGAGATCCGCGATCTCTTCCTACCCCTTCGGGAAAAAAGCGTGACGAAATAGTGTTTATAAAATTAAAAAATTAAAATTAAAAATACAATAAATATATTATGACTTTATTGTGAATAAATAAAATAAAAAAATAGGTATCATTAATATAAGTGAATAAAGCTTTGTAAGTGAAATATTTTTATTATTCATACATTTTATGTTCATATATTTTAGAACCAATAGTAAATTATTCATACGTAATCATAATAATCAAGTATACAGTATTTAAAATTTTCTTAACAGAGTAATCATAAAGACAATTAAAAATTAATAATAATAAATTGTGCGTGTACTAGGTGTACACACGTAAGAAGTGAAACTTCTTTATGATCTTATTTTTCGAAAAATGATCTACTATATGCAACTTTACAGAAATTCGTTAAATTCCTCGATAAAGAAGTTTCACTTCAAAAAGAAAATTTAAAAAGTTTGGTCCCTGTGCAGTGTACCTTTAACGCTGGCAGCATTTCCTCGCTGTATTGCGATACTTATTCGTTGAGCAAAAGCACCAGCTCTGGGGTCACCGGTACTGTCTACCAGGCGCCAACTTAAATATTTTATTAGCGCCTGTGCACTTGAACCCCACGGCCCAAGAGTCAGCAAAGGGAACAAAATGGAAATTGGAGGAAAGACTTTTTTACTTAAGCCGTTTATTACTATCCGGTTTTAATGAATTTTAAGAGATTGTAAATTACACTGTACATGATGTACCAACCAATAGCGTTAATAGGAATACACATTACACATTCATTAGTGTAATGTTTTTTTTTTTTTTTATGTTATAGGAGGCAAACGGGCAGGAGGCTCACCTGATGTTAAGTGATACCGCCGCCCATAGACACTCACAATGCCAGAAGGCTCGCAAGTGCGTTGCCGGCCTTTCAAGAATTGGTACGCTCTTTTCGTGAAGGATGTGTTTGTGTGTCTAAACAAGTAGAATATTATAGACAGCTTTTCCCTCTCTCTATTCAGTGTTAGTCTGCGTTGGACATTTACTGTTGGCTTATAACTTCAAACTATCACCGTTTTTGTAATGTAAAAATATGATGAATGAAGCAGAAGATGATTTTGATTAGTTTCTCGAAGACACTCTCCAAGACACTCTCCGTAGGACCACAGCCGGACAACAACGTTCGTGGTCATTTGGAAAGGCTATAGCTTCCAAGAAGGTTAGTGTGATGATAGATAGTACTCCATCCCAGTCCATCAATATCTAAAGCGCAAATTTGGCCTCACATAGAATACTGTCCTCACCTCTGAGCGGGAGCTGCCTAGTTCCTTCCACTTGACCGTATTCAACGAAGAGTGCTTCGATTCCTCGACATTCTATCACTATTCGTAAAAGGTTCGCAACGCCCTCTGGCATTGAGAGTGTCCATGGGCACACTTAACATCAGTTGAGCTTTCTGCCCATTTGTCCATTGTTCTATATTTAAAAAAGCCAAGTTTAATACGATACTCTAGACCATTTATTATTATGCCATAGTCCAAACGAATACACTAATGTTATTCCACTGAATAAATGCCGGGAAATTGCTTTCAACTGATACAATTCGAAAACAACGTAACCGCCACAGGTCTATCTCGCTTCCACAAATCGAATTCGGTATATCTATCCCTTTTCAACGCGTAACTGTGGGCAAAGCGAGCCAGGCTCTTCTGCGAGTAAATTAAACTCGTTCGCATTTCATGATAGCTGATTATACAATTTCATGTGGTTGAAAGCTAGGGTTGTACAAAAATTTAAAATCCTTAAAAGTGTTAGATTTTTTTTCCTATGTGGTAAAGATGAGGCGACAAGGGGGCTTGGAGCAATTTTCCAGTTGCTTCATTACCCTTCTGTGCCTAGACAGTCATTGTTTTACCGAGAATCGAACGTTATGTAGACTCTATCACTCAAGATCCACTATTAAACTTCTCACTCTTAAATACCTTTGCCTATCAGCTCGGTTCTTCGGCTATGGATGGCTATAAAAATATTGTTGAAGATGAAAATGGACGACGCAATCTACAATTCTTTTAGTCGCAACAAAAATATGAACATTATTTATATACTTTAAAAAAAAATTTCGCCAGCCCTTAACACGTCAGATTTTCCGGGAGTTTCGTATTAAAACGCTTAGGGTGTGCGGCGTCGTCTATTATTTAGCTTGCTATTGGTCGTTTTGAAAAAGGAACACGCCACCATTGGACGAATGATTTGTTTGTTTTAGACAAGTTTTAGATTAGATTAGGGTGGTACCTTTACTGTAGAGGCATAGACATATTGTTATAAATGTTAAAGATTACCAAGATTCTTAGAATAATACTTCCAAATTGTTCTGTTCTCTTCTCCAGAAACATAGATAATAAAAAAAAGATATTCTGTGTTATACGTGTTTTCAATATTAATTGGACTTTATTTATCCATATTAAAATTCCTAAATAAATTCCATATGAACATAATGCCACTTACGCCGTTTCAAAATGCGTTGAAATTTCATAATGTAATGCCGTACTGAGCCAAATTGCTTTCGGAATAACGATGTCATAACAACCTATCTTATTTATTACATTTAAACTTCCCAATTGGGCTTGTTTCTGTTTTATTATAAGGGGATTTTACATAGAAACCAAATCTATATTATAAATGAATTGCAAAAAAATTTGCTAGGCGCAAATCTCGAAGACGGCTGGACCAAATCGAGTAAGTTTCTGTAAATTGCTTGAACTCTGGAAGGTCTTTATGGAGAAAAAATGTGAAAATTTAGTACCTAGATTTTTATTCCGGAAAAATAAACAGTCTCTATGGAAAAGCATAGCAAAATGTTCCATATTTAGCTACTAAAAGGTAGGCTAAGTAACGAAGTTCTAAGGCAGCTACTTAAAAATAAACCGGCCATATATTCACTACGTCTAAGTCTACCTTTTATATAAACTCTTTTTACGTACGTCTCTTACTGTTTCAGTTTACGTTGTACTGAAAAACGATATTTATACAAGGAATTTGTCAATCTAAACAATTCGACTTAGGGTCCTTCAAGAGCGTTCCAATTCTTAAATTCCCGCAACGCACTTGCGAGCTTTCTGGCAATGTGTATAAAAAATAGGAAGAAACAGTATGTTTTTAGGAATCCTTTCGCCAGTATTATATTTGAAGGAATTATATTGTTATTTTAACAAAGTTTTTTTCTTGGGGAATTGGATGTGGTTTTTCGAAGCGCCCAAAATGTCCAACCTAGAAGTTTAATAGTCGAATACAGTTATAACAAATAGAAGTAATTTATCTCAGCTACGATGGGGAAATAATAAATGATAAGCGTATAGGGGAAGTTTTTGTGTAAGGTGACAATGCAGTGTAATATTTAGGGATTTAGAATATTTTTAAAATACTTGTGGTATTTGATTTTTCGGCTTTAAAACATTAAATGCAACCATTAAGTTTCATTTCTTTTTCTTTTGTACATGTGTATTTACAAAGACATCATGGAACATGACGATCTAGTCTAACTTAAGAATAAGTAATTTAAGTCTAACCTAATCTACTAAAAAGGATATTTAACATAAGAAAATGTCCAATAACACTACTTAAAGTCTCTATTAAAGGGTAGTTCTAT